CTAAGGTAGCAAGGTAACCAAGAGATTTTTTTTTATTATTATAATTTTCATTTGATACAATTACTATTATTAACTGGACTCATAGAAATTAAAATAATAAAACTATATTACATGACTGTGCTCTGTCACCAGAGACAAAAAAAAGGTGGGGGGGGGGGCGCCAGGGTGGGTCAGTAGGTTAAGCCTCTGCCTTAGGCTCAGGTCATGATCTCGGGGTCCTGGGATCGAGTCCCACATTGGGCTCTCTGCTCGGCGGGGAGCCTGCTTCCCCCTCTCTCTCTGCCTGCGTCTCTGCCTGCTTGTGATCTCTGTCAAATAAATAAATAAAATCTTTAAGAAAAAAAAAAGATGTCTCTTAGCAGCTAGATGCTAACATCTTCAGTATTAATTCATTCCACTCTCTGGACTAATAGTGATACATACCATATAAAGGGTTGTTTTTGTTTGTTTGTTTTAAATCCTCCCAAATGGTTCATTCAATCAACCACAGATTTGATTAACTTTGGACTTTGTTTTTCACTAAATTAACTGAATTTACATAACAGGGAACAACCATGTATGGGTAGACCAGTCTTTGAGGTTGTGAGTGTAGACGTGTGTATATGTATAAACAAAGGACAGGAACAAGGTGAGATTCTGAAGACATTGGGCTTTGTTATGTTGACATTGAAAATCACATCGAGGTGGGCACCAGGGTGACTCAGTTGGTTAAGCATCTGACTCTTGGTTTCTGCTCAAGTCATGATCTCAGGGTCCTAGGAAGGAGCCCTGTGATGGGCTCAGTGCTCAGCAGGGAGTCTGCGGGAGAGTCTTTCTTTCTCCCTCTCCAATAGCCCCTCTCCCAGATCACACTTTATCTCTTGGTAAAACAAATAAATTAATTAAAAAGAAAGAAAGAAAGAAAATCACATCTAAAGTACAGAGCTTAAAGACTTTTTATGGGAAAAAAATCAGAAATATGCATGGTTGTAAATATTTCCTGCGAAAATTATATAGAAAGCAGTGTTTTCTTGGAAAAAGCTTGGGGAAGCAGACATGAATATAATGAAAACCACATGGGAAAGCTTGCTGGACAGCTCCCCATCATGTAAACAGATCTGAGAAAACTCAGTTTAGGTTAGAAGAGGACTGCACTTTTCCATTTTTTAATTATACCTTTATTTTTATTTATTTTTTTTTACTGATTTCAGGAGGTCTAAAGTGGACCCAGGCATTCACATCTTTCACAAGCTCCCTAGGCAATTCTGATGTACAACCGTAGTAGGGAATCACATATATATGTGTACACACACGCACATACATTTTATTAAAGAACGATACAACTGCATTGGAAAAAATTTAGAAAATAATTATAAAAGACAATGATTATTCATAATTCTACCTTCCAAATTCCACTATCTATAGCATTTAGGAATATATTTACTTCCAGATTTTTCCTCCCGTGTACAAGAGTGTTGCTATTTTATAAGCAAAATTTTATAGCCATGAGATTATGCTCTACAGGATTTTGAATGAAACTTCTAAGTGGAGGATCTCGTGGCTTTCTTTGGGAGGTCCTTCCGTATTTACTACAGCTGCCAATTAGGAACGTTTATCCCCTTCCTGGACTCTGCAGCCAAGTCATTCCCCCCACCCACCCCCGGATTAAGCTCAGGGCTCCTGACTACCTTGGGGTTAATGCAATTGTTGTCCTGGAGAGGGCCATACCTTTGTCAGAAAGGCTTGAACTTAAAGTAGCAACCTGGGGGGCAGGTGGCGATCTTAACCTGGATTTATCCGTATTTTCCACTGTGATTTCTCTGTTTATATGTACTAGGGGATATCAAAGCACTGCCTGGAATCCCTCGCCTCCCACGAGTTCATGAATCTCTCCCTTTCACTTACACTGCAGGGATATTAAACACATTATTCTGTTTTGACTGAACGCCAGTAAAATTAAATTCCATCTTTCCATCTGCGGCACCACGCAGGGACCACCACCTTCTGGAAAAGGGGAGCAGAGCAATGGAGGAGGGACCCCTTCAGGACGCTTGTGAACATGCCATTTTCTGCTAGACAAGATGAATTTGCCCCTTCCATGGCATAAATCTCAACATCTGCTCTGTCTTTGCCTCCCAGACACCCTGATAGGTGTAACCATCTTTAAACCATTGCTAGGAAGCAACATATGGATTGTCAGCAGTGACTGAAGGATAAAACTACGCAGGGTGGGGGAGGGGCTCCGGTTCTGATCCTCCAGCCTTACTGGGATTTTTTAATTTGGCTGAAGTTTCTCCAGGCTTTCCTGGGTGTCCATCTCTCACTGTCCCACTGACATGCTTGGCACGGAATCCTGAATTTTCCCTCTTGCCTTTTCCAGCTGTTTCTCACCATTTAGCCCCCTCTCTGTGTCTTACCCCCCAGGGAAAGGAAAGTTAAATGATGTTAATCTGCCAAATATTTCTGATCATTAGGAAGCCATAAAAATTAACATAACCATCAGAGGAAATTAATTGCCAAAGAAGACAAGGTTAGAGCAGGATGGTGAGGATGGGGGGTGGGGTGGGGAGAGGGGCACAGCTGAGGGGCACTTTGTTCCTTCTTTGTGATTCTGAGCGAGGGGCTGCAGCTGGAGGCGCCCAGGAGGCTCTGCACAGGTCTGCTTCACCCGCATTTAATTATGAGCACAGCCCCAGAATATCAAGTAGTGCCAGTAGTAAAATCCTACAGAGGGATACCCTTAATTCCTGCCTTTTCCCCCTCCTGCTCCTCTGGGGGAAATTTTTGGTTATTTTTTAATTCTAGTTCAAAATAGAGGTTGGGGGGAAGAAGCCCACTCTGGCCTCCTGCAGGAAATGCCATTAATAATTAATACCCAATAATAATCAAATCCATGGGAGACTCGTTACAAGTAACATCTTGACAGACCCATCGATGGATGCCTGTAGCTTTACTTCTTCATCAGCTTACAGGATTGGTTCAGCAGGGATTTGAGCACACATAAGTGGTGACAAAAAAAGGATAAATAGCAGGTTTGTTCACGGAAGAGCCTTATTCATCCCTATAGGGTTTTTTTCATTTTAGGTTTATGGCTTGGTGGGGAATTTCCCTTTAATTGGGATTGTAATATGAGGATGGGACCTGTCGACATTTACAAGAGAGATGGGAGGCTAATTCTTCCTAACTTGTTTGTTGTTATTATTACTCCACCGGCTCCTTTAGGAGGCTCTGTATAAAAGAAGCAGACAATCAAAATGGATCAGAGACAAAGTATGCCCGAGAAAGAAGGGGAGAAGTGATGTCCAGGCACTGGACTTATCTGGGGTTAGCAACTGGTTGCAAGTCAGATTTGAGAGTGTTTGAAGCTTCACACTAGGCCATTCAGAGCCATTTGTATATTGCATCGTTTCACTTGATCCTCACAATAACCCTGTGGGGTGAGTGTTAATAAGCCCACTTTCTAGATGAAGAAACTGAGGAAGGTGTGGTTTAGCAATTCCGGGTGATCCCACAACCCCCATGCAGCAGGGAGGCTGGCTGGAAAGTCAACCCTGATTTGCTACTCTTTTCTGCTACTTTGTTACTCTTTCACACCTAGCGGAGAGAAGGACTCTGCCCAGTCCCTTAAGCATGGTAGGAGAAGGCAACTGGCCTTTGAAAGGAGGAATTTCCCGTTATTCTGCCCTGCATTCTATTCTATAACAGAATTGAGAGTATCAGGGCTTCATTGTCCAACAGGTTCCCAGAGAAAGCAAGTAAGGTCAGAGCAGGGAAACAACATCCCACTCAGATGGGTCATCCAAGGAGAATTTAATGTAGAGACCGTATGCCAGTGTGTGGCAAGGGCAGATTTAAGGAACCCAGAGACAAACGACAGCCGCCCTGACCACTAGCACCTAATTCTAGGGCAAAAATGCAATGCTCACCTCACTGAAAACCATACAATGCTTCCTTCATCTCGAGGTAGAATTCCTCCCAAAGCAGGCTCTGTGGGGATCTGAAGAACCTCTTCTGGCATTTTGTTTGGAGTTTGTTATTTTTGTCCACCAAGGAGACGCAGAGACTATAAAGTAACCAAAAGCATGTATTTGGGGTCTTAGGGATTGCAATACAGGAAACATAGTGCCCCCCTGCCCCCCCAAATCAAAAGTGTGCTCAGAATTGCCCTTGGGGAAAGCAGGCTTATAAAGGCAAAACCCACCAAGTTTACCTAACTTGTTTTGAAAGAATTATGCTTGGCGCCCGCAGAGTTAAACTGTCTAATACACCTTTGGCTATTTAGCTAACACATGTTACATTATCTCTATTTTGGTCCAAAGTAAAAGAATGTGTTCCAGAAAGTGATCCAGCTGTATTTGACAAGGTGTAATTGACAAAAATCCAAAGTTCATAGTTTCTGAGAATTGAAACAGGAGACTCACCTGGGCCCCTTTTCTCCTTTTTATCTTTCCATGTTATTTTGAATGACTCCCTTAACAATGCTTACTTCATTTTGGAAACTTCCTTCATATTTGAATTACGAAAAAATTAGAATAAACAAAGAATACTGAATATAACATAAGAAACCCCATAAAACCAACATCTAAATTTATCAAATGATATTAATGCATTAATGTATTAGCTCCATATATGCATATATATGTATATTTTTATTTTCAAAGAAATTAAGGTTATAATGTAACTGAAGCCCCACCTCCATGACACTCATTCATCCTCCCTCTCACCCTGAGCAATCAGGATGCCAGAGTTGGTGGGGTATCATTAGCAAGCTTGTTATGCTTTTACTACATACTGATATATCTGTAATCATATCTATTATTGCTTTGTGTATTTTTTTTTTAAGATTTTATTTATTTATTTGTCAGAGAGAGAGAGGGAGAGCAAGCACAGGCAGACAGAATGGCAGGCAGAGGCAGAGGGAGAAGCAGGCTCCCTGATGAGCAAGGAGCCCGATGTGGGACTCGATCCCAGGACCTGGGATCATGACCTGAGCCGAAGGCAGCTGCTTAACCAACTGAGCCACCCAGGCGTCCCTGCTTTGTGTATTTTAAATTGCAGGTAAATTGTATTTGTATGTACTGTTTGTATGTGAACTGTTAAGTATTTGTAAGCAACTTGCTTTTCTTAATTAACATATTTTTAAGTTAATTCATATCATTATAGATACATTGAGTTTATTTTATTATCTGAATGTCATTCCACAGTATGCCTGTACTACAGTTTATCCCTCCTTTGTTGATGATATTTAAGTTGTTTTTAATTGTTCTCTGTTAAAGACAATGCTTCAGGGCAGCCCCTCATGCACAGGGCAGGCAGCAGGAGGGAAAAGAAACCAACAGTAATGCTGCAAAAAGCATTCATATATATATATATATATATATATATATATATATATATATATATATATATATCTACATGAGCACATAATGCAAGAAATTCTCTAGGAGGAGAATCACTGACTTAGAAAGCATTCCTATCCTTGATTACATTAGCTTCTGCCAAATTGCCTTCCAAGGTGCCAATTTTTATACTGACTAGCACTGAATGATGGTTCACATTTCCGCACACTGTGGTTTTAATTTACACCTTCTGGTTCTAATTTATATTTCCTTTACTACAAATGAGATTGAACTTCTTTTTATATGTTTACTGACCACTCATGTTTCCGCATTTATGAACTTTCTGTTCAAATATTTTTTGTCCATTTTTTTCTTGGATGATTTTGATCTTACTCTTTAAAAGAGTGGTTATTATTCTGGTCACTGATTTTTATATGTGTTACAAATACTTATCTTTTCATTTCCTTCATGACATTTTTAGTTGTGCAGAAGATTTTAATTTTAATGTGGTCAAAGTTGTCAATCTTTCCCTTTACCGTTGAGTGCGTGTGTCTATGTATGTGGCTTGTTTAGGAAAGTCCCTTTTACACTGCAGGTTCATAAAGGTGTTTTTCTGTGGTCTCCTCTGAAAGTCAATTCTGATTTTCACATAAGGTTTTAGATATAGCTGAAACTGATTTTTGTGTGAATGGCATGGGATATATATAATGTATTACATGATCATAACATTATCTGCTAATTACAGTATACTTGCTCCACTGATTTAAATATCACTCTGAAAAAAAATAATACTGCCCTGTAATATGTTTGGTCCACACAGGCAGGAATTCATTTCTAACTGTTGCATGGGTGTTTTTTGGCTAACCCTATACCAGTACCTCCCTGCCTCAATTAATATATTTTTCAGTAGGCACTGATAAATATGCACATATCTTAATCTTCTTAGATATTCTTGGCTTTTGCTCATACCGATTTTAGCATTAGTTTATCAACTTTTTCATGGAAACCTCTGGTGTACTTGATAAGAGTTATCCGGAGATTTTATTTTCATTTAGAAAGAATTTTTATCTTCACATGAGTTTTCCCACCCACAGACATAGCAATATCACAACAGGGATACTGAGATGGAAAGAGTCAGGAAACAATGTTTCCATTATCACAGGTATCCTCATGGTGCCCTTTTTTACCCATGTCCCTTCTCCCTCACCTCCCCGATCTTTCCTTCCCTGGTCCTTCACTTCCAGCAACCACTAATGGGTTCTCCATTTCTATAATTAGTTATTTCAAGATTATCATATAAATGAAAGCATACAGGAGGTAACCTTTTGGGACTGGCTTTTTTCATGAAGTATAACTCTCTGGAAATTAATCCAAATTGTTCCATGTAACAATCATTTTTTCCTTTGTTTTGCTGCATAGTATTCTATGGTCTAGATGGAGGAGCCAGCTTGTTTTATCATTTCACCTGCTCAAGGACATCTGGGTCGTTTCTAGTCTAGTCAACATTTATGAATAAAGCTAGCATATTCATTTACAAGTTTGTATGGGAATATAAATTTTCATTTCTCTGGAATAAATGCCCAGGTGTGCAAGTGCTGGACATAGGGAAGTTACATGTTTAGTTTTTAAAGAAACCGCCACATTGTTTTCCAGAGTTGCTGGGTATCATTTTATTCCCACCAGCAAATAGAAAAGTGATCCAATTTCTCTGCATCCTCTCCAACATTTAGTGTTGTCACTATTTTTCAGCTTTGCCGTTTTGATAGGTAGGTTTTGCTATCTCACTGTAGTTCTAATTTGCATTTCCCTAATGTCTAATGATACCCAACATTTTTAAGTGTTTATTTGTCATCCACATACTTTTTTTAGTGAAAAATTCTTTTTCAGATATGTTGCCCATTTTCTAATTGGATTGGCTGGGTTTTTAAAAAGTTAATTAGTTAACTTATTTATTTATTCATTTTAGTCTTGAGAGTTCTTTCTATATTATAGATACTAGTCCTTTGATGGATAGATGATCTGATAATATTTTTTCTCAGTATATAGTTTGCCTTTTCATCTTTTTTTTTTAAAGATTTTACTTATTTATTTGTTTGTCAGAGAGAGAGAGAGCGAGCACACACGCAGGCAGAGTGGCAGGCAGAGGCAGAGAGAGAAGCAAACTCTCTGTGGAGCAAGGAGCCTGATACGGGACGCCATCCCAGGACTATGGGATCAGAGACCTGAGCCAAAGGCAGTAGCTTAACCAATTGAGCCACCCAGGCATCCCTTGTCTTTTTATCTTCTTAACAAGGTCTTCTACGGAGCAAAAGTTCTTGTTTTTTGTTTTGTTTCACATATGTCCAATTTCCCCAGGACTATTTGTTAAAAGAGCGATTTTCTATTCTTTGCCATTGAGCCACATGTCTTTCCTTCACCCACACTCTCCTGAACACTTTAACTTGAAATCAGGAAGAGTGATTCCTTCCACTTACTTCTCTATTCTCAAAATTGTTTTAGCTAGCATAATTTTTTGTTTGTTTCAGTTTTTGGTTTTATTTTGTTTTTGCTTTACTTTCCATATAACTTTTATTTTACTTTATTTTCCATATAAATTTTAAAATATTTTTTCTATATCTACAAAACAGTCTGCTGGAACTTTGATAGGAATTGTGTTAAACCTGTATGTCGTTTGGAGAGAACTGACATCTTTATTATACTGAATCTTCTAAACCATCAATAAAGTATATTTCTCCACTTTTTGGATCTTTGATTTCTTTCATCAGCATTTTGTAGTTTTTCAGCATACCAGTCCTAGACATATTTTCTTATATCAACACTTGTGAGGTTTTTTTTTTTTAATTATATATTTATCTACATCCTTGCTGAACTCACTATTAGTTTTAGGATTTTTTTTTTTTTTTTTTTAGTTTCTTTGGAAACTCTAGGTATATGAGCACTCTATCTGCAAATATACAAATAAAGAAAGTTTTATTTCCTCCTTTCTAATATGTAGGTCTTATCTTTTTCCTGTTTTTTGGTGTGTTAATTGAACACTTTCTTTAGAATTGTATCTTGATTTATCTACAATATGGGGGCGGCTTATCTCTTTGTATAGTTTGTGTGTGTGTGTGATTGTTCCAAGTATTGCATTATATATAAATAGCATCGAAGTTCTCTGGTGCTGACATTTTACCAGTTGGAGTAAAATACAGAAGTCTTATTTCTTTTCATGTCTCTTTAAATCCCCCAATTATAAATGTCTTAATCATTTCCTCTACATATATTTAGAACCAACTCAGGCTGTTAAACTTCTGCTTGAGCTGTTAAATACTCTTTAGAAAACTCAAAGGAAGGAGCATGTATTGTATTTACCCATGTTTTACTCTTTCTGCTATTATTTCTTTCTTTTTGATATTTTAAGATTCCTTTTTTTAATGTTTCCTGACAGTTAGGAAAGTTTTTTTATTCATTGTCTTAAGGGAGGCCTTCTTGTGAAAAATTCTCTTAGTTTTCCTTTATCTGAGAGTGTCTTTGATTCTCTCTTCCTTCCAGAAAGGTATTTTTACTGGGTATGGAATTCTGGGCCGACAGCTCTTCTCTTTGAGCACCTAAAAAATGTCAAGCTGAAGGGTGCCTGGATGACTAAGTGGATTAAGCGTCTGACTCTTGATTTCAGCTCATGATCTTGGGGTTGTGGGATCTAGTCCTGTGTTGGGGTCCACACTCAGCATGGAATCTGTTTGAGATTCTTTCTCTCCCTCTCCCTCTGCCCCCTCACCTTTGCTCTCTTAATTAATTAATTAATTAATTAAATCCTTTAAAAAAAAAAGAGAAAAATGCTATGCCAATTCATCTGACCTCCATGCCTTCTAATGGGAACACCACTGTCACTGAAATTGCTTTTCCCTCATAGGTGAGATGTTGCTTCTCTCTTGCTGCTGTCAGTATATTTTTCCTTTGTCTTTGGTTTTTGAAGTTTGACCATGATGTGTCTGGGTTCAGATTTCTTTCCAGTTTATCCAGTTTGGGATTCATTCAGCTTCTTGATTCTGTTTTATGTTTCCTGCCAAATCTGGAAAGTATTCATCCATTATTTCTTCCATGACTCCTTCACGACACTCTGTTTCTCTTCTCTGCCCTGTTGGAGCTTTTGTTATAGTTCCACATGTCACCAAGGTCCTGTTCATTACTTTTTTCAGTCAGTTTTTTCTCTGTGGTTCAGATTAGATGGTTTCTTTCTTTCTTTCTTTTTAATTTTATTTATTTATTTGACAGGCAGAGAGGCAGGCAGAGACAGAGAAAGGGGGAAGCAGGCTCCCCACTGAGCAGAGACCCTGATGTGGGGCTCAATCCCAGGACCCTGGGATCATGACCTGAGCTGAAGGCTCAGAAGCTTTAACCCACTGAGCCACTCAGGTGCCCCAGATTAGATGGTTTCTATTCAATCTTCAAGTTCGCTTATTCTTTTCCTTATCTTCTTCCATTCTGCTGTTGAGCTTATGCACTGAGATGATGATGATGTTGATGATGATCATGATGATGATTTTGGAGGGCTGAACAAGGGAGTATGATGATTTTAATTACATTTTAAGACCACTCTGGCTGCTACAGTATGAGAAGCCAGAAGTAGAAGGAAGAAATGATGATGATTTAGACCATTCAGATAGCAGTGGAGATGGCATAAAGTGATAGGGTTTGAGATATATTGTAAAGGACATCTGATAAAATATTCAGATG